GGGGCGCGCAGAGCCGCCTGGCTGGGTCCGGCCACAGTCGTTGCGGTTCAGGAGGCGGAGCGCGCCCGCCCAGCCGGGTGCAGCGGCCCCAGCCGGCCCGGGGAGCCCGGGGGCCTCCGGGGCTGAGTCTGATCCTCAGCTCCCTGCTGCTGAGCAGCCGCCCGGGGCACCGGGACGCCATTGGTCCCCACGGTCAGGAGGAAGGGCAGGGGCGGATCCCGAGAGGAGGGGTTGCGGGACGGTGGGTGCGCAAAGCTCAGGAGCTCAGGAAAGCGTGTGCGGCGCGTGGAGAAAGTTAGAGGGCGTCACGGGGCAGGAGTTTAAAAATCGGAAGATGGGGGCGGGAACTAAGAGAAGTGGGTTCAAGAGAAGAACGGGGGTTCAGCAGGATGGATGAAGGGGGGCCTCTGAGTGGGCCAAGGGACGCCGAGCAGGGCCTTGAGGCCATGGGAGAAAGGAGACGCGCTGAGGGGTCGGCGTCTCCGGGCAGAAGGAGCCGGGACCGCGGGCATCCGGTCCAGGCCCCGGGAGCGCAGTCGAGGGCCAGGGCTTCCCCTCGGCCTGGGGACGCGGATTGGAGCTCCCCGATGTCCTAGAGAGGGCGTGGCTGGGGGGCAGGGCACAGGATGCGGAAGGAGTCCTAGCCTTTCCCGCACCCCCAAACCCAGTCCGTTCCCCCGCCTGGTCCTCGAGCTTGGACACCACGGCCGAGGACTTCCCGCTGCGCCGTGGCTTCGCCAGGGGCCGGACGGGCGCAACGGGTGTCACGGCTGTTGATGCCTCGGTCTTTTCTTCTTCCCCCGCCCCACTGTCACCTTCGGGAACCACGGCCAGACCAAGCCCCCGACCCAGGGTTTCAGTACTGGTGACACAGGGTCCTCCCTTTACCTATCAGTCCTGGGAATCTTACCTTCCCACCAGCAGTGTATACAGGTTCCAGTTTCTGCTCATCCTCACCAACACTTGTTATTACCTGTCTTTATTACAGCCATCCTAGTGGGTATAAAGTGGCTTCTCATTGCGTTTTGGTTTGCATTTCTATGATGGTTAATGGTGTTTTGTATCTTTTTGTGCTTAGGGCCATTTTGTATATCTTCTTTGAGAAATGTCTGTTCGGGTATTTTACCATTTTTTAATTGGGTTGTCTTTTTAATGAGGCCTTCACTTTTGGGGCTGGCTAGTTAGCTCACTTGGTTAGAGTGTGGTGCTGGTAACACCAAGGTCAAGGGTTCAGATCCCCTTACCAGCCAGCCGCCAAAAAAAAAAAAAAAAAGAAAGAAATGCATGAGGCCTTCACTTTTTTGCATCCTTGTCAGGATCTGCTTGTGAACTGGAGGAGGAGAGAGATTCAGGATGGAACAAACCTGGAGTCTCTCCCACTCCACCCCATCCACCTGGATCAAGGAAAGTCTGTGTCATAGAAAGGCCATCCCACCATCATGAGAGAGTAGACTGTGGCTTTCAGGCAGAGGATCTGGACTTGCCAGCCCTGTCTGAAGCCAGTTTCCATGCTTTATTCTTCCAAGGGATCCAGAACTCCTCCCAGGAAGCAGCTGAACTTCCTCCCCTCACCCGGCCTGTCCACTTGTCTGTCTGTTCAATCCTTATAGCTGTCTGAGTCTCTGTTCACCTGTCCCTGCACAGGTTGCCTCTTTGCCTGAAGACTCTGCCCTTACCTGGAAGTCTGTACCAAAGGTGAGTGAGACCCAGGGGATGAAGAGACAACACGTGGAAGTGAAGGGAGAGAGGGGCAAGAGGATAGCTGGGAAAGGGGAGGAGACCAGAAGAAGAACAGAGACTTGGGGATTTGGGAGTGACCACGGAGACAGTACTGCTCCTCAGCAGATAGGATCCTTTGAAGCCTTTTGGCCCAGGTCCCTGATAACACCATTCTCATGCCCTTAGAGGGACAGACCTAGGTGAGAGTATGGCAGGCTAGGGCCCTCCAGAGGTCATCAACCCAATCTTCTAATACTGGCAAGGTGTGCACCAGCAGCTTGGGCCTCAAGATGAGACCTGGGCAAGGGGAGCTGAAGGAGAAAGGTTGGGCTTGGTCAGGTACAGGGATAGGCAGAGATAGAGGGAATCCCCAACTTGACTCCTTCCTCAAACTTCTCATCATACCCATCTTTGAAGCCTCACCCGCCCAGTCCCTGCTAGAGAACGGGGCAAGACAGGATTCGGGATGCAACCTTAGCAGGGAGCTGTTCCCACTTGGACTCTTAGAGGAGCACAGTAGAGGCCACTAGAAGGCCCTGGAAGAGGTCAGCATGCATCTGCTGGTGACTGGCCCACCCTCTTGATGCTGACTGCTCCAGAGCCAGGAATCATGGGGTCCTCAGCCAGAAATCACCACACCCCGCCCCCGTCCCCAACACACACATACACACACACATACATCCCCCAGACTCTGAATTGGGGAGTGGGCAGTTCAGAGCATATGACAAGTCGTAGACATGAAAGATGGGGTGGAGTGGGAGGTGATTCCTTGGGGGAAAATGCCTGACCCTTCTTGAGAGCAGAGTTTCATGGTTGCAAGCTTCAGAAGGGAGATCTGCTTTGAGTTCAAATCACTAATAATAATCATAGGGTCTAATGTGCAAGTAATGCCTCTTTGTTTTAAAAGCACTCTTTACATCCTCAACCTCATTTGATTCTCATTATTGAGTAGCATTATCTTAAAATTCCCTTTTGATCACTTATTACATGCCAAACACTATGCTAGGAAATGTACAGCTTCCAAGTTGGCAGAGTCAACCAAACACAGATCGAACATACTCAAGAAAAAAAAACAATAAAAAAATACAAAATATACAGTACACCAACTATTTATATGGCATTTACATTATATTAGGTATTGTAAGTAATGTGGGGATGATTTAAAGTATACAGGAGGAAGTGTGTAGGTTATCTGCAAACACTACGCCACGTTATATCAGGCACTTGAACATCCGCAGATTTTGGTACCTGCAGGGTGGGGGTCATGGGTTCTGGAACCAATCCCCCACAGATGCTGAGGAACAACTGCACGAGGGTACTTCAAAAAGTTCGTGGAAAATAGAATTAAAAGATATTATGAATCTTTCCATGAACTTTTTGAAATACCCTCATATAAGCATCATCGCCTTTCATTCTCTGTCATTTTATGAGTGAGAAAACTGAGGCTCAGAAAGTTTGATTAAATTCCCAGGGTCACAGAGCTAGTGAGAGCAGGGATTCAAACCCTGAGGCAGCGCAGAAAGCAAACTCCTGTACCTCAGCCAGTCTTTGGGTCCCCTCCAATGCCCCTTTGCTCTGCAGTCCCTATGCACTTTGGGGAAAGGAGAAATTCTAATCACAGTCCTGTTTCTGGGGTGGGTCATTCAGACTGTCTCAAGTGTCAACCCACTCGATCTTTCACCATGCAGGACTGTTCTGGAAGGATGACATCACTCAAAATGTGAGGCTCCAGAAGACGGAGCACAGGCCCAGGTTCCAGTCCCCACAGGCCTGCCCGAGCGATGGGCAGGCAGCCTTTCCCACCAAAACCACCAGGGTGAGGTGTGTGAGGCCTGTGGTTGGTCCATGCTGCCCACGCATGGTAGGCAGAGAAACTGGGAGGGAAAGAGCATTAGAGCTGCAGGTGGGAGCTGTCAGGAGTCCAGTGAAGAGAAAATAAGAGTTCCTGTCTGATTTCAGCCAGAAGGAATCCATGATCCATTACTGATGTCTGCAAAGGGAAGGAGTAGGAAGTATGGCTCCTATTTGCTGTCTCTGGCTTAAGCTTTGTCTTCCAGGGGCAAGCAGGAGGAGAAACTTCAGCTCTTGTTCCCCAAGGTGAGACTCCCTCAGGGATTTTGAATCCTTCGTTTGGGCCCCATCTCTTTCCCTCTGGGCCTGGCCACCATTTTCTCCTCACCTTTGACTCCTGGCTTGCCTCCCCTCAGAGCCCAGACACCAAGGTGAACAGGGAGCAATGCTTTCACTCTGCAGTGGTCTCGGAGATCCTGGACCAAGAAGTGACTGCCCACATCAAGGCCCCGCTGCAGGTGAGGGCCTGGCCCTGTCCCAGCAGGCTGAGCCCACCAAGGGCCTGTTTAAGGAGGGAGGCAGAGTGAAGGAGGGGAGGGATATGGGCTAAGTGAGGACTGACAGGGCTTCACCGAGGGCAGAGTCTGGGGAGGACCTTGGGGAAGAGTGGGCCTGGTGGAGGGGCAGGCACAGGCCTCTCCACACAGACAAAGCCAGCCCAACCCTAGCTCTGCTGCTTCCCAGCTGTGACCTTGGACACATCACTTATGCTCGTCAAGCCCTCCTTCCGTGTCAGTGGAATGGGGATGGTAATAATGCCAACCCTCCGGGCTACTGTGAGGATTAAAGACAAGAAGCATGCCAGCTGGCGGCTGCGGGATTGAAGGGAAATGCTTCATTTCCCCACTGGAGGGCGCCCCCACCTTCTCTGTCTCACAGACATCCCGTGATAGTTTTCAGCAAGTGCAGGACGCAGGGGCTGGAGCCTCCAGTTGCCTCTTGTTCTGGAAGATCAAGCACAGGCACAGAATTTGAAGCATCTGCAGAAATCTGCTTCAGAGTTTCCAGTGTTTTAGAAAACATAGGAGCTCTCTGTTTTCTAAGAGAATCTTGACATGACCCCAATCTCTCCACCTTGCCCATCTGTGTATATATTAGAGAGAGAGAGCGCACGCCCTTCTCTCCTTAACCTCTCTCAGGGGCGGTTGCATTGTTTCACACATCAGGCCCCTCTACACTAAGGAAGGCTACATTTGAACTTAGAACTAAATGACAAGGAGGAAGCCAGGGGAAGACATGGAGGAGGGTCCCCAAGGCAAAGAGACTTTCAAATACAATTGCTGTTAGGTGAGATCCCAGAGCAGACAGAGCGGTTGGTGGTAGGAGATGAGCTTGGAGAATAGGTACAGGACTACTTGGGGCTTGTAGTCCATAGATATGGGGTTTGGTTTTATTCAAAGTGCAGTTGGAAATCCTTGGGGGATTTTTAAGGAAGGGAGCACAGCGACACAGTAACCATTTTATAAAGATACACTGATGCTGCCAGAAAACAGATTACAAAATGGACAGAATTGGAGGCAGGTAGACCTGATTGGGGCTATCGCGTTGTCCAGGTGGGATCTGGTGGTAACTTGGACTAAGTTCGTGGCAGCATAGCTGAGAAACCTCCAGCTGGACTCTATCCAGGGCACCCTGCATCTCAGAGGTGCTCCAGCCCCTCACCCCTTTCAAAGAATTGGTCCCCATCCCTGTCACCATGGCAGCTGGCTCCTTAGCATGGATTGGTTGCCAGGCCACATCATTAGTCCTGTGACTGACCCCATGATGGGGACTAGTTGCCATAGTTCTATCAAACATGCAAGCAAGGAGCTGCTATTTGTCTCCAGGCTCAGGGGACTTGACCAGCCCTGTGTCTAATGGAAAATCCCAGGAAGGAGATGAGATTAGAGATGGGGGACCAGGGAAAGGCCTGAGTCATTGTCTCAAGGCTTTTAGATCAAGACTTCTATTGAGACTTGTTCTATATTGGTTGGGGGAGGGTGTGGTAACCCCTGCCTGGGCATATTAATTCAAAATCCCTTCCTTCTTCCCATTTTAGGACTTTTTTGAGGGGTTCCTTACTCTGGGTTACAATCTTATAGACGATTAAGGTGTCATGGGAAGCCTCCCATGGCCCAAACTTTCCCTGATGCTCTCAACAGGGGCAATTTCAGGCTGACCCAAATCCAGATCATTAAAGCCAATTTTCAAGCAAACTCTGCAGACTTATCTGGAGGCAGGATGCATGGGGTTTGGGACCATGGCCCACACTTTCCCTGATGCTCTCAAGAGGGGCAATTTCAGGCTGACCCAAATCCAGATCATTAAAGCCAATTTTCTTTTTTTTTTTTTTTAAAGATGACCGGTAAGGGGATCTCAACCCTTGGCTTGGTG